TTCAATCTGCACATCTGTTCGAAAGCATGCAAATGCAAGTAGATAAAAAGGTACCACTTCGGTGGGCAGGTAACAGCGTTCTGTGCACCTCGGTGTGTAGTCATGCCGGCCACACGACCACGGAGACTGTCTGCGGACAAATGCTGGCTCCCTCGGCTAGGAAACGGAGATGAGCACCGCCCCCGAGAGTCAGGCATGACTGGACTTAATGTCAAGGGGAAACCTTTACCTTTACCTTTTACCAGATCTTTAGAGATGCCCCAGTGGCCACCCTCTGCCTTAACACAAGCTGGATTCTTCCCACTGAGCTCAGTACTAGGGAAGCCTCAGGATGCACTCATTGGGAGGGAAGAGGAGAGCTGACTTTTCGCCCACTTGTGCTGCTCCTCCTGCTGCCTTCCTTGAATCAAATACCCTCTTGCTCCTTGCCCTGAGGAGACAAGGGTGTTTTAGGGCATATGCACTGTGAGTTTAGAGTCTGATGCAGAACCTCAGGAAAAAGCGAAAATTAATCATTGCTTAGTTTAATATTCATTATTTGAGTGTTGCTTTGCTGCCAGGGACAGGAAAGTGCTGCTCATGAGAATTCCTGCCTCAGGAGCTAAAACAGCTCAGCTTGCTTTGAGTACCACTCTACACTTGAGAAGTTGGCCGGCAGGCATCAGCACTGGTTACTGTTCTTCAGGCAGAAAACAGCGTCTGGGGGCCATTCTTGACATGGCAGTTGAGACCTGTGAGGAAGGAAAAAGTAGTTGAGATGGTATAGGAAATTATGCAGAGAAACAGCTGAGTAACAGCTGTGAATGGGGAAAGATGTACAGGTTTACATCGAACTTACAGTGTAATCCTGCACATGTTTACTCAGAAATAAGTACTACTAAGTTCAGTGGGATTCACTCACAGGTAAGTGTAGGATTGGAGTTTTACCTGCCTCACCCACCCTGAAGATAGTTCCAATATCTGCATTGAGAGACGCCTGGGGACCTGTGCTTGGTAAGCAAAAAACCAAGGTAACTTTGATTGTCCCAAGAGAGATAACTCCCAGCTCCCCCAGCCCTGCCACAGATGAGCTTTGCCATTCTTAAGAATGTTGATTGCTCTAGCGAAGGTATCCAAAGTGGTCAGGAATTCCCCAAACTACCGAAATAAATTATTTGACCAACTTGAGGAGCTGCCTTGTGCAGCAGCTCTCTGCCTCCTCACCTGATCAAGGGTCCCGGAGCAGCAAAGGAATGTCCCAGTTGCTCAGCCCAGTGCTACAGTCCTTATTGATGAGGGTTTCTTGGAGCTAAGGAAGTGCAAGTGTGGATTTTCTCCAAAATTTATCCCATATGTTTAATTTGTTTGCTTGTTACACTTGTATGCTGCACCCCATAGCCGGCTCTTTGAGTGGCTTACATTACACGGAGCAGCAACAATTGGAACAAATTGATAAAAGCAATACATAATAAATCAAGAAAAATAGAACAATAAAAATAATAAAAATCAACATTCACTTAATAATAAAACCACTTAAAATAATCTTTTTAAAATAATCTTGTGAATAGAAATGTCTGGCAACTTTGTTTTGTAACATGGCAGTAGCATCGATAAAACCAATATAATAACCATAACAAAACCAGTTCAACTTACTCACCAAAATAATTACGGAAAAGAAATTTTTGCTACTGGTGCCTAAATGTAAAAAGAGAAGACACCTGGTGGATCTCAGTTGGAAGCAGATTCTGCAGATGTGGTGCTATTTCTTTGTAATCTGCTTAGAGAGTCCTTTGGACTAATTAATGTGGAATGTAAGTTAAATAAATAATATTACAGGAAAGGCCCTTCTCCTGAATGGGGGTTTCTCCCTCATAAACATGTAAGAGCATGGATTATTATGGCCTATGACAATTATGTCAACATTGTCACACTCTTCCTTGCTGGTTTGCCATGTTAAGTTAGTAATCAATCAGTACACACTGAAAGTTCCATGCCGGTCTTTGTTGGCCCCAGGCCCTCCGTCCCCCCTGTCTGGATTTGGGCTTGCAACACCAAGAGTGTGGACAGAAGAGAGTAAGTTTTAAGCTAGCTGTTTGGAACGCTGCAGTTCTGCCTTGAAACCAAGCAAAAGGTTTATTAGTTTGCCTTCTACAAAAGTCGTGGCAGTGATTTCAAATTATGCACATAGAGTTGTATATCAGCATCAACACATTTGTTCTCTCCTCACCTCTTTTTTTCTTGTTTGTTATGGCCCCAGTCCCACATCTTTTGAGTGCCTAGCAGTGCCTCCACTGGTTTTGCTCAGGGCCGGAACGCAGAAGTACAGTGACTGCATATCCTCTTGTACCGGCTATCAGTGACCATCTTCTGTTTAGAAATATCCTCTGTTTGAAGAGCTGTGCTGTCTAATTCCAGATTAAAGATAAAGAACATAGTTAGAGACACATCCCTAATTATTGGTTTACATGTTCTGGGCTGAGGATCTGTACCAAGAACACATTCCTCGGATAAGTGGTCATTAAGCCCGGTATCTCCCACTTCAGACTGCACACTGCTTTTACTCCCTGTTTTTTGCTAGAACTATAAGGAGGAAAACTCTAGGGGGAGTCTCTCTATTTCATGAGACACAGAACAGAGCCTTCCGCATCCCAGAAAAGGTAAGGAAGTACATAAATCCTCATGTCCTTAGGTGATCAGAGCTGCTTGTGACTTTGCAGAAACAGTTCTAGTCTTGCTTATTCACAGCAAAGTGGACAACCCAAGAAAGACGAGGCCTAGTTGTCAGAATTAGAGTTACTATAGCAAGATCCTTTCCAGGAATAGCCAGCCATGAACGGGGGCAGCTGAATGCCATTTTAAACAGCATATGAGTCTTTGATGGAATGGGCTTGTGCAATACGTCATGCCCCTATATTATGATTGGTTGGCTATAAGGCCAAGGAAGTGACCAAGGTTCCCCATTGCTCACTATAAGAATGGCCTGATAAATTTTGATAGACAAACCCCCAAATGGCACCTCTCCCCACTAATCTAGTCGGGTGTGTTTGACCTGCTGTGAAGAGACTCCCTTGGGAGTAGGGGGCAGTGTATGAATGCAAAAACAAACCAGTGAAGGCCCCATTCATTTCAGTGGACTCGGCGCAAGGATGCATCTCCCGGTGTGCCTCAGACAGTCAGATATGTGTTTCCACATCCTTCACTTTGGGACTTCTCTACCTTAGGCTTTAACTGGCTCTCCCACTTTTCCGAATTCTTTGCAAGATCAGGACCAGCTCTTGTACACAGTGTAGCAGTGATTTTCTTTCTCTATCTTTCCACATACTGTATTACACAACCACAATGTGGAGCTGAGGAATAGCAGAATTGCAAAAACACGCAGTCATTTTGTATCTTTGTGCAGCATGCTGGCCCTTCAATGGCTCAGTCTCATTCTTAAAAAGATGTGGATGTGCTCACAAAGCGCAGCAGAGGGCCCGGAGGATGATTCCACTGAGTAAAAGCACCTGCACGCCACCGTGGGTGAGGAATCACAAGGAATGCCTCCTGTACAGAAACCCGCTGCTGCCTCGCAGGTTTACAACAAAGGGTGCCTCTTCTTCGCGATAGTCCCCCTCACCCGCCCCAGGCCTCGCTCAGCCACTATCCCTGCATAGCCTAAGAATCAAATCAAAATTAAATCACAGTTGTACTGTGCTTTCAGCAGAACTACCAACTATTTTTATGTGCCCCAAGATACAGCAAAAAGTTACATGACTTTAGAGAAGCACATGAAGGATACGTCCATTAACCTGAGTTGCCAAATGGTCTTCCTGCTGAGGACAAAAAGCAAAGGTCATCACAACTTGTGACCCCGCAAGTCACATCTGCCTTGCCACAGTTTGGAAGTGAGATTAGAAGGGCTGATCATTTTGCCAATTCCTACATACTTTTACAAAAAAAAAAAAATAGCCAGAACACGATATGTTACAGTACGATTAAGTACGTAGATACATGACAAATATAAATACTATATGCCAATCAAATAGGAAGTGACTAAATATTTAGACATATCTATACAACCATCGTCATCTTCATAATATTTACTCCACTCTTCGTCCAAAGGAACAAGACAACTCCTACAGCAATTTGAAGCCTGATGCTGTGCAACTTTAGCAAGCAATCCTCCTTCAAATCAAAGCAGTCTTTCCACTCCCAGCTTTCTCCAAAAAAGAGCCTTGCCAACAATTCTTAAGGACCAGGCAGGCTCATCTGACAGTTTTTTTTTTTAAGGTTCAAAGGTGGGTTACAAATACAAAAAGAAAAAGATATGGCACAGTTTGATGGCTTTCTGACATAGTCTGCGGTGATGCAGAGGATTTTTGGAGCCTTACCTCTGAGATCCTACAACCTTGGAGAGAGGGCAGAAGGCCAAGCACCCCTGTCTCTGCCCCAGGACCCTTTCTGAACTTGACCCCTGGACCTTGGAGAGGGCAAAAAGGATCATGCTGCAAGGTGGGGAGGGGATAAGGCTGGGGTGTTTCCCTTATACTGATTCCCACTGATATCTCAGTCTCCCTCCCTCCCTGGGGCTAAATCTAGACTGCCAAAACCAGCTGCCTGGTGAAAGTACATGGGAGAGGCACCTGCCTGTTCTGCATTGCACTCTCTGTGTTGGATGCGCAAGAGTTTCAAGCTTACATGCATCGAGGGCGGAGGAAATGGAATCCCACCCTTTATGAATTACCCCTTATAATACTCTGCTCAGAATTCAAAAAACTGTACAAAGACTCAAACTCTATAAATGTCTAGATGTTAATTTTTTTGTGGGGGGGGTGTCTTGGATATTTAGTTTTTCAAGGTTCCAGAAATGAATATACCATCCCCAATATTTTTCCTAAAGTAATTTTGCAGTCAATATCTTATGAAAAATGCATGCACCCTTAATGCTGGTCTGGGAATTTCACACTTAAGCAAAAATATTTTCTAAGATTGAACTATCCATGTTGTGTCTAACGAAGTATGTGCAATGTTTGATGTTGCAGATTTTAGCAAAATCCAGAGGCCTGGACTGGAGAGCAATGACCAAGCTCCAGGACGTGCAAATCAAGCTGAAAGTAAGCTTAGAGGACATGCTGGCTATGGTCGAGGAGATGCTCCACCCGGAGCCTTACAGCATAGAGGAAATTGGGGAAAACCTGGAAATTAGCCTCGAAGAACTACGCTCTGAGATCCTCACTCCGAACACGCAAGATGGTGAGTGCATCCCAAGTGCTGATGGTTACGTATTTCAATGTATTGCAGAGGCGCCCACTTCATGGTCGTCCAGATCCTTTGCCCTACAGCCTGCATGGTCTGTGCCAACTGGGCTGATGGGAATTGTAGGCCAAAACATCTAGAGGGCCACAAGTTGCCCAGATTGGATTTAAAGGAACTTGATAAGTAAAAGATGTGAATGTATCATAAAAAGTACCTGTTTTGGAGTCTTTGTACAGAATAAGCATCTGTCAGGCAATAATGTTTGTTTTATACCGAAGCAGAGAAAATAGAAAAGCTGGAGTTGAAAGCGTTACTTTATCTGTCCATGCTAGGTACTTGTAAATGGCTTGACTGCAAGTGAAATAAAGGTTCGATGTATCCCTCTGTGTCAGCTGCTAACTTTTGCAATCAACCAACCCTACCGATGTGACTCCTGAATTTTCCTGCTTCTCCCAGGATAGCTCCCAGGGGTGTGCCTTTCAGCTATAGTAAATTGCGGTGCGTTGGTTGCAGGTGGACTCACAGGTAAGCATCATTGCTGAGCACTGCCCTGAGTTCTATGACCTGAAAGCCAGGCTGGAGGTGCCTGTGGATACCTCCTTGAGCACCTGTCTAGGTCCCTGCACCTCCTGAATCCTATTTTATTTCTTAGCTTAAAAAATGAACACCTACCTTAATCTGGGGGAGTGGCACACTGCACCACAAAGTGCCAGCCCCCAGTGCCATCTTTATTCGGATTCAAGAGTGGTTTTGTGGCTCAGGCTTCATCCCTGCATAGTATGGGGTTCTTGGGCAAGTCACTTTGCTTTAGCCTCCCCAGCTTGCTTTCTGGGACGCACGAGCTCGCCGTGGCAGCCAGTGTATGAATGAGCAACACTCCCCCCATACTGGTCATTTGTGAAGAAACATCCACGATGCTTTCAAAATTCCAAATGCGCCTGCCAACCCCTGCCTAAAGTGTTTCCCTACAAATAACCAGTGGAGAATCTGAAGTGGACAAAATATTGGATTTGCACAAAAGAGATTTTTAACTCCCTTCTTGGCTATGCTGGCTGGGTGGCTTTAGACAACGTTATGATTTCATCAATCTCATTAGGCTGTTTTGGGGTTGTTTCACATATTGCAAAATTTGTATACCCAAGACTTACTTGTGTCAAGATCACAGATCTGACAACATGCTTGTTTTCCCCCTTCTTATGGACTGGGAAGCCGCAATCGGCTGCAGCACTTCAGCTTGTGATGGGACACAGATGCCCACAATCTGCAACTAGGAGAGAAATGGTGGATAATTGTGTAAGCAACCCTGAGATAAGATAGGGTTCAATATATCCTACCCCCTGGGCCTTTGGGATACAGCAGGAATTAATAAATATATTAGACTCATGTTTTTGACTTGCCTCAGAGGACAGTGCCAATGGGCCAAGAGTTTTTGGTTCTGACATGGTGGAAACGTGATCAAAACAAATTCAAACTTGCATGCCTTAGAAAACGAAATGGGGAAAAAAGACCAGCTTGTTCTGCAAGACATCTAGCATGTGTTCTAAATTCCCTCCTTTGAAATACATAGAGGCTATTTTGATCTTGATCATTTTTCTTTTGGTTAACTTGTTATTTAGGAAGTGAATTTAATCCACTCTTATTTTGTTGCCATATAGTCTTAAGCATTTCTACACATTATTAAATCAGCAAACCAAATATAGCTGTGGTTGTATGCTCATATGGAACACTTCTAGAATGCTGGCTCTGTGTATATTTAAAGCATAGACTCCTCCGTTAATGTCAATATAATTTACCACTAATTATATGTAAACATACAAACAAGGAAAGTTTTAAGAAATGACCCTACTCTGCTTTATCTTGGCTGTATCCATTGTGAGCTGGATTCTAAGCTAAGTTGGCCAATCTAATGGAGATAAGAATCTTTATTTTTCTCAGGGGGTCTAGATCACTGCATGTGTAGTGTTCTAGAGTTTGGATCTAGAGTTTGGTGTGTATCACTGGATGGGTAGAATTGGACTTTCCTACCTCCCTCCTATCTTCCAGGGAAAGTATTTTTTCTAGTATTTCCACTCTTCTCATGGTTCTAGGGAAAGTCTTTTATTTTTTCCTTCCATTGTCATATAAAAAGATTGGGCCCCGTCTATGGCTTCCCATCTTACCTTTTGAGTTTTTGTCTAATGGTAAAAATAAAGGAGTTGCAATGTATCAGGTAAAATTATTTGCCCTTCTAGACCAATATTGGCAGTCTCTTTTTCATCACTTCCTGCCTTCCTTGTTTTTGTAAATAAATATATAAATGTACATACATATGTACTGAATATGCCAGAAATTGAACTGGGAGGCAGGAGGAGTCTGTATAGAAATGTGCTCTAACACTGAGCTGAGTAAGGGAGATTATATAAAATAGATTACTGTTAGTGAGAACAGAGAAAATTCTGCTTTCTGCGATTTCAGTGTTGCTTTGGCCTGTAGACGGAAAGATAGCAATTCCTGCGCTATAATTTAAAGGCTTTCTTACATGAAGGACTTAGTGTGCCCTTGCTGTTTCTGACTCACAGTGGTTTGGTGATTCTTGTGCCCCTTGGTTTGACTTCTGTGTCCAAAGAATTTTAATAGAGCAGGGAAAACGCACAATTTAATTGTCAAAGCGAAGACCTTCTTTACTTGTGTATTGGCATTGCCTCCCTGTCTCAGTGCCACCTAGAAATGTTACAACGGGAAAGCAAATGCTCTTTGTGCAGCGCTCAGATCTCAATTCTGTGACGACACAGAAAGTAGACGCCGCAGGTGAGCAGTGGCTTGCAGGGTTTGCATACAAAAAGATCCCGACATGCATTCTGAGAAATGCAGGCACCGCAGGGCATTGAGGGCAGAGCTGTTCGTGGGAGAAGGACATTTGGTGGGTTGGTTCTTATGAATTAAGGCAAAGGCTGATGTCACAGTAACTGTTTATTCACTTCTGTTCCAGTGGGCTACAGTTTCAGATTCCGTTCGATGTGTCTCCTTTCCCTTTTCCTTCTTCTGAGCACCAAGGCTATATGAAATACTTTTTTCAGTGTGAAAATCCCAAAGGAAATGCTATTCCATCTAGTGCTTGCAGATCTGAGCAAAGAGAGTCTCTCTTAAAATGTGGCATGACTGATTTTGTGTGATGAGGCCAGCAAAAATGGGTCACAGAGCAATCCCATTGTTTTCATTGGTACACAACAAAATTCAGTTGCAGATTCCTGTTAGCTGCAAGGACTGAATAAGAAAATAAAAATCAGAATGTACTCTTCATATAACCTTCTCTTTGGCTTTGAAATCCAAAAGGATTCCAAATAAAGACATTCCTGCTATATTTTTCCAGTGCTTTTAAACCACACATTATTACATATTGTTATAGGAATAGATTCATGAGGTCACCATAAGTCAGGGAGAACTTGACAGCACATAACCTTTGTGGATTTAAAAAAAAAGCTTTTAGTTCTGTTCTTTCCCTTTTTAAGAAACAAATGCTGAAATTATGTTCTTTGTTGTGGCCTCTGTGCATCACACACATGGGTGCTGCGCCTGCACAGTGCCTTTGGCCGGAAGATTGCAAGCTAACGGTTGTTGGTGGGAAAAGCTCCACTCCTCCTCCCCTATGGCCTATAAAGAGCGGAGCATCCGCCATTTTGTTCAGTCTTTGTGACCGCCGTTCACTGTGCCTCGTGCCACTTTTGCTCTCGCTCTGACCATTACTCGTTCAGCTTGTTTTTCTTCTCAATTGTTCTCTCCCAGTTGTTATAGCCCCGGTATTTCTTCTAGTTCTAGTTCTTGTAGTTCTCTGTCGTTCTACCTTCTCTTCGATCTTCTATCAAAAAAACAAAAAACAAAAATATATACTTACCCTCTGTACTATCTCCTTCTTTCTCTTCCTTGCAATGGCACAGCGAGCGGCTTTCCACAAATGTGTGGAGTGCGGGTCTAAAATGTCTCCGACTGACCCGCATGACCTATGCCTCCTCTGCTTGGGGGAGGGGCATAGGACTGACAAATGCTCTCACTGCCTGGCCTTCTCTAAGCAGGCCAGGAAAAACCATGAGAATCACCTGCAGAGGCTCTTGTGGGACCGGGCTGTCATTCAGTCTGACCCACTCATTGCTGCTCCGAAGTCTGGCTCTGCTTCAGTGGCTCCAACCTCATGCCCTTCGGACGAAGGTGCGTCTGCCACGGTGGTTCCACCTGCTTCTCCCAAGAAAAACCACGAGAAGTGCAAGCATGCTGAACCCGACAAATCAGCAGGCCATAAGAAGGCCAGGAAGGAGAAGGCTCCTAAACCTCCAAAAGAATCGAAGGATCCGGAGCATCCTTGACACCGAGACTCGGATTCAATGGCCCCCTCGGTACCGGCGGCACTTACCGTACCGACTCCACCTGACCCGGTGCTTCAGGAGGCTATGAGGGTTACCCCTCAAGGGTCCCCTCGCCATGTGGCTGACCTTCCTGCTGGGCCGCTTCCAACTTTATAATGAGGCTCAATTTCTGATGGGGAAATTCAGGATTCCCCCCCTAGGGCTAGGTCGCCCACACCTATGCCCACAGCCACTCTGGAGGCGGATGTAGAGATGTCACCGCCTAGGAGCCGGAGGAGTCGCTCCATGGAGCAGCTCTCTGAGGGATGGCATCGCTCATACTATCAGACCTGGGGCGATCCGCTCTCCGTCAGATACTATCACACTCCTAGGGGTCGGTCTTCTCCACCTTCCCGTGACCGACCGCAGTCCTCGGGCCCGAGGCGTGCATCCCCGATACCTCCTCAGGATGGAAGTAGCTGGTCCTTCTCTCCGGCGGAGTCCTTATCATTGGCTCCCCCGTATTATGGTGCTGACTCCGATGATTCGGAGGTTGATTCAACCTTCCCTGACGTCGCTGTGACCTCCCAGGGCCCTGAGTCACCGGATGAATCACATGTCTCCTTCACAGAGCTGATGTCCCGGCTTGTCCAGTCCCTCGACATCGACGCCGTCCAGCGT